GAAGGCCCAAATTTGTCTTCCCTGGGTACCCTCAGACAGATACACACATACACTTAATAAAAATAAAAACAAATCTTTAAAGAAACCAAGTTCGGGGAAGACCAATGGTGGAGTAGGCTCTTTTCTTGGGGAGGGCTGGGGTGAGCATTATATCAGTTTTGGGTTTGTTGCTTTATGAAAGGAAATGAGCAACAATTAGAGCCCCAGCCCTCTTTAAGTGTTTTTATATTGTGGCTTTCTAACAATTGTTATGTTTTTAAAATTGTTTTAGTATTTTTGTTACGAATTAATATCTGTATTGTAAAATGCATACCCACCCCAAATATTTTTTCTGCTTGGTATGTTAGTAGAAGTAAGAAAAATAAATAAAATGAAATGCTTCAGAAAGCTCCAATTCAAATTAGTTTATCACTGACTCTTGGATGTGGCTGCAGATTTCTGTCCTCGTTCCCTTCTCACTACTATGGTGGGCGCAGAGACTCTCTCTACTGATGCAGTGGGCATGAGGCCTTTTTCTTGTTTAGTTTTCCTTGAGTTACTCTCTGGGATGGACTTGTTGATTTGACTTCCAGTATTAGAAGAGGGGTGAGCTCTGGCTCAGTGCTCCAACGACCCATGCAGACACTGAGTGTCAGTGTTCTGTTGTGGTTTGGCCATGAGTTGGGGTGGGGTTGTGTTATTTTCACAAAGGTGGTCTTGGAAATGGGCTCTGAGTCCTTTGGAAGCTGGTTCTTTGTTGGAGAGCTTTGTGGTCACCATAGTGAAAATGACAATATGGCTTTGCTGTGTTCCCTCTGGGTAGATTTTCCCAGAATTCTAACCCCACCTTGCTGCAGCATCTTCCTTGGAGATCCCAGGATGCCACAGATTTGTGCTGCTCTCCATCTGCTCATTCTCACTGGCTACAGACTGACCTTCCCAGCTGTCTCCTGGCTGAACTCGGGGTCTTGCTGTACTTTTCCCCTGGGCAGTCACCCCCTCACTGCCACCAGCTCACTCCACACTCACCCACGACCTCTTGACCTCGGCCCCACTGACCTTCCATTCTCTTTCTGTTTTTTCTGCTGGGGGATGCCCCTTGTCACTTGATGCCCCGCTCGCTGTCCGCAGTGGCACTGTCAGGGGAAACACAGAGAGATCTGTGGGCATGCGCTCAAATTTTCAAAGGATGAAGATTGATTGGACAGAGTTATTTAAGAATACATTGTGTTTTATCTCACACATCTAAATATTTCACCATACAATATAAAACAAGGAATAAGGTCATTGACGATATTTTTCTATGCCACAGCTGCAGAATCCGGTGTGTATTTTGCATTTACAACACATCTCCCTTGAGGTGAGCAATATGGAAGGTCACAGCCTGGCCCCTGTCCTAGGACCTCACAGCCTTGCGTCCAGGTTCACAGTTCTTTTCTAAGTGTTGCAGCCTTTCGAAGTCCCCTGACAGCTCTGAGGGAGCGTTGGCCCTTTTGCTCCTGTCTCACCCCCACTCCTACCCTAAAGCAGTATTACTTAGAGGAGTAGCTTTTGCTGGGCATCTTTTCAAAATCCTCATCTAGATGAGGGTCTGCTCTATTGAGAACTCAAAACTGACAGAGATCCTGCCACCTACACTGGTTTCTAACATGAATCAACCTACCTACCTTCCTTCCTTCCTTCCTTCCTTCCTTCCTTCCTTCCTTCCTTCCTTCTTTCTAATCAAATGTTTTCTAAAATAAAAATGTAACCTTTTTGGTGTAGAGGTTGCACTGTGTAAAAAAAAAATTTCTTTTTGAGAGTCTTGCCCTATCACCCAAGCTGGCATGGTGCTCCCAACAATGCCCACCTTCTGGCTGTGTAATTTTTATTCTTATATTTATTGCATAAAATGTCCCAGGTGTTTCCTTTTTGTTTTTGTTTTTGTTTTTTTTTTTTGAATGATGGGCATAGGACACTTTTCTTTTTCTCCATTACACTCAAACTAATAATAACCTAGAATAATTGAAGTCAGGTGACCCCCCTGGTCAAGGATTGTATTTCCCATTGCTGTGGGGTCTGAGCTAGGCTGGCACCCTGCCGCAGGAAAGCTTTGCTAGTGGGCACGGCAGGCTGGTCTTCAGGCCATGGGACTGAAGACAGCTACCCATTTTGCAGTCACTCTAATAGCACAGTAATGCTGTCACAAGCTCCGGAGCTCCTGCGTCTGTCTGTTCCTGTGTTTCCCCAGCACACTTGGTGCTGTCCTCACTGTGTGCGAGGCTGACCCCCACAGATGAAGAGGCTTTCCTTAGCTGTTGGAGAGTGGAATTGCTACGGCATCTCATTCCCAGCACTTTGTCTTCCCTTCCTTTTTTTCTACACAGTGTTTACCTCATCACACTACACCCACCATGCAGAGAGGGACGGCAGTTTTGATTGATGCTGTGTAAATGACTGACATATGGGATGCATTCTTAGCTGATTGAGTAAATGAGTTCCAGACAAGTTTGGTGACCTCTAAACTTCTGTCTCTTCATGGGGCATGCCTTCTGATAGGGCAAATAGGCTCTGGTGGAGCATGAACTGTTTGAGTCTCCATGGGAGGCAGTTTGGTTGTACCTAGAAAGCTTAGGAAGCTGACATCCCTTTGATCTGTGTGTGCACTGTCCCCACGTGTGAAAGCTGCCGGGGACTCATGGCCATTCATCACTGTAGTAGTGTTGAACAGTAGGGGGCTTGCTGCAGTCTGTCCATGCGATTGAGTGCTTTGTCATTTCAGAGGAGGAGGAGGAGGCACAGGTTGCATCATTGAAAGGGAAAAAGGGAGACATAGGTGAGAGTTGATGCACATGTACTGTGTTTGGCCGTTGTGTAAGAGGCATTCTGGGAAGATGAGCGAATCCCAGTGACCCGGGGCAGCAGGTCCCGAGTGCAGGAAGGGAGTCAAGTGAGGCTTCCTGCTGGAGTCATGCATGCGAACTATGGGTACTTTGACCGTGGAAGTATTTGTAGCATTAGGGAGTGAGTGGAAAGCTTCTTGCCGATGCCTGGCACCCAGTAGATCCTCAGGTTGTCAGAAGGGAGGCCTGACTGCCCTCTTGCTTGTCTGGCATGGCTCTTACTGATGTGCCCAGTTCCCAGGGCCAACAGTTAGGTCTGCGTACTGTGAGCAGTTACAGCACATGGAGGCGCAGGTTTTCCCTGTCAGTTACACCCACAAACTGGCTGAGGAGTGTTAGAGTACGATTGCTCTGCAGTGCATCTGGTCACCACAGCAGGACCCAACGAAGGTGCTGTCGCTGCCGTCTGTACCTCACCAGCACATAACAGCCCTTCCTCTCTTACCAGGATCACACTTTTTTGTATACCAGTGGAATTTTTCTGTTGTACTTTTTTTAAGGTTGTAGGTAAAAATTTATACCTGATCATACTACTAGAAGCCTTAAAAATTTCCACATATAATGGAGTCATAGTGATTAGGGAAAACTGGGCTTGGGTCAGGACAGCAGTCTGGCTTTAAACCAAGTTACCTGTGCAAGCCCACCTAGCATAGTTATCATGTCCCTGGGCTCAGAGTGAGTGAGTGCTGGAGAAACCTGACCTAGTGGACACAGTCAGCAGGGAGCCTTCAGCTCCTGAAGAGGATGGAGGTCTAATGGAAACCCTGCAGAGCAGTGCTAGGCAGGTCACCAAGCAGGGAGTGAGTGAGAGTCAAGGAATGAAAACAGAGACTGTGTTCCCATGGGTGGAAATCATTGGCTTAGGATGCCAGTCATGCTGTTCTGTGCCGGTAAGCTCTTTGCTCAAACCCAAGAATTAACACCCCAGGCCTCTGTACTGTGGGCACTCAGGCTGCTGTGTTTCCCTATCAAAGTACTTTGTTAGCAGTTCACTCCTTCTGAGGTCTTGTTTTTATGCAGAGCTTGCATGATTCATAATTTCTTTTCTGCCCTGTTCTTCATTGTTGTTATCACTGTTGTTGTTGTAGCTAGTGCTATCTGTGAAACTCAGATCCTCATGCGTACTGTAACCTAGCTTCCAATCTTCCTTTTAGAAGTCACATCGTTCCATTCCTGTTATTGTCTATAAAGAAACAGCGTGTATTGCTAATACATGGTCACCAAAGCAATTGGGCAGGTGGCCATAGCTCAGGTCCATACCAGTGTGCCCTGACGACTCTCTGAGATTCCTGTTTGGGAACTCCAGTCATCTAGGTAACATGGCAGTGCTTAAGCCCTGGGACTGTCCCAGTAAAGAGTCCAGGAGTAACAGAGAACACCTGGCAGAAGGTGTTCCGGGGCAGGATTGGGAACATCTAGTGAGTTCTGTAGCCTGTGGAGTGTTTGTACCCTGATGATCCCTATGCACAGAGAAGGGTACCCCTTCTGTACATCTGAGTGGCATTCATGTCTGGCTTCTGTCTGGTTGATTTCAAAGATGAGACTGTATTCATGCAGTTAAAGAGGCAGCTAGGTCAGTGAACCAGAGATGAGCGAGAATGTGGCGGAGCACAGACTCCTGAATCTGATGCTCACAGGCCAGCCTATGGAGCAAGTGAAGACACAGGGAGTCCAGGGCTGTATCTTGCCCAAGAAGTGATTTTCAGGTCCTCTATTCTGCTGGTCACAGGCTGCAGGTGACTACTTGCCCTGGAACAGCCACAAAAAGGGGCAATATAGTCAGCCCATGGCCTGTAAAGAAAGCTGTAAGGATTGAACCTTGTTCTGTGAGTCCTCATAGAGAGGAAGCCGCTGTAGCTATAGCAAAACATTCAGTTGTCTGCTGTAAGGACCAAGGGCTGTCTCACACCAGTGTGCCCTGGACCTGGGCCCTGGCACAGCGTAAGCCCTCAGCAGGTGTTTGTCAGCTCTAGAATGGGGTGGGGACATGCTCTTCGCTCTGTTGGCCTGGCTGACACAGGATAGATGTGGAGGCCTGGATGGACTCTTCCCTTCCTGCTGAGATGCAGACAAGCTTTTTCTGGAAAAGTTGGCCTTAACTTCTCCGTTGTGATAACTTGTTCTCCTTTGTCTTCACAGAGACTAATAGACAAGTCACGAGTAACCTGTGTCAAATGGGTTCCTGGTTCGGAAAGCCTTTTCCTAGTAGCCCATTCCAGTGGGAGCATGTACTTATATAACGTGGAGCACACGTGTGGTGCCACAGCCCCCCACTACCAGCTTCTGAAGCAGGGAGAAAGCTTTGCCGTGCACACTTGCAAGAGCAAATCCACAAGGAACCCTCTCCTTAAGTGGACGGTGGGCGAGGGGGCCCTCAACGAGTTTGCTTTCTCCCCAGATGGCAAGTTCTTAGCGTGTGTGAGCCAGGACGGGTTTCTGCGTGTGTTCAACTTTGACTCAGTGGAGCTGCACGGTACAATGAAAAGCTACTTTGGGGGCTTGCTTTGTGTGTGCTGGAGCCCAGATGGCAAGTACATTGTGACAGGTGGAGAGGACGACTTGGTGACAGTCTGGTCCTTTCTAGACTGCCGAGTAATAGCTAGAGGCCATGGGCACAAATCCTGGGTCAGTGTTGTGGCATTTGACCCCTATACCACTAGTGTAGAAGAAAGTGACCCTATGGAGTTTAGTGGCAGTGACGAGGACTTCCAGGACCTTCTTCATTTTGGCAGAGATCGAGCAAACAGTACACAGTCCAGGCTGTCCAAACGGAACTCTACAGACAGCCGCCCTGTAAGTGTTACCTATCGGTTTGGTTCTGTGGGTCAGGATACACAGCTGTGTTTATGGGATCTTACAGAAGACATCCTTTTCCCTCACCAACCCCTCTCAAGAGCAAGGACACATACAAATGTCATGAATGCCACAAGCCCGCCTGCCGGAAGCAATGGCCACAGTGTCACTACACCGGGGAACTCTGTGCCCCCTCCATTGCCACGGTCCAATAGCCTTCCTCATTCAGCAGTCTCCAATGCTGGTAGCAAAAGCAGCGTCATGGACGGGGCCATTGCCTCTGGGGTCAGCAAGTTTGCAACTCTGTCACTGCACGACCGGAAGGAGAGACACCATGAAAAAGACCATAAACGAAATCATAGTATGGGACACATTTCCAGCAAGAGCAGTGACAAACTGAATCTAGTTACTAAAGCCAAAACGGACCCTGCTAAAACTCTGGGAACATCCCTGTGTCCTCGGATGGAAGATGTCCCCTTGTTAGAGCCGCTGATCTGTAAAAAGATAGCCCATGAAAGACTGGCTGTCTTGGTTTTTCTTGAAGACTGTATAGTCACTGCTTGTCAGGAGGGATTTATTTGCACATGGGCAAGGCCTGGTAAAGTGGTAAGTTTTAATCCTTAATGCTGCACCAGATCTAGAACTTGACTAGGTAGTGATTTTTTCCTTGCGGGAGGGGTGGGCTGTACAATGAATGTGAATGACACTTGTTAATGTAAATCTAAGTGCATCAGAGCCATACTTTTGGATACTGCATGCCATGTAATTCCGAATCATTTGATAACCCACCTTAGAGCATTTACAATACATAATCAGACTAATTGCCAGCCAAGTCAGTCATCCCTCTGGGTATATAGAGCCCCAAAGTTAGCACTCCTGTCTCAGACTATTCCACTTACAGGGAAATCGTGACACTGTGCAGAAATAAGGACATGAAAATGCTAAAGTCAAACATCTCTGCTTTAACTGGCATATTTTTGCGCACCACTCAACTAGATTGTTGTACACATGGTCAGTGTATGTTCAGCACAGATGGCCACTAATTATCATTTATAGTCCAACTTTTTACCTTAAACCATAAACTGTTTAGGAATTTATGAAATCTAACTTAGGAACAACGTGTTCATCAGGGTTGATTGATATTATTTTTACATTGTCTGGCAATCCACAGAAAGAGAAGAGCCTTAATTTTTAAAACCCATTTTAGTCATTTTATGACAATTAAAAATTGTTTAATAAACATCTTTTTTCAAAGAAGCAGTTTGTAGAACTCTGATTGCACTTGTGCACTAAACTCTCCACGTGTTCCAGAGCCTGGACAGTTAAGATGCTGCGGCCAACGACAGCAGCCACAGCTTTCAGAGGGCCTCTTGCCACATCAGCTAAGACCTATGTATTAGATGTGCATAGCTTGGGGTTTTTTTCCCAATGGGGAAAAGGAGGTTCTGTCTGTTTTGTTGTGTGTGGGGGGGGTTGTCTTGGGGTCAGGATGGTGTGGCTGGAAGTCAAGGGCAGGCTCCTCAGTTCTGCTTTGTGTGGACTGTTAGGTTGTCCAGGCTGCAGGGTGCCTTCTGACGGGAAGTTCCCCCCACGGGAAAGCATAAGGCATGCCCCCCCTGCTCCTGTTCTTGGATGGTGGCAGTGAGTTCAGGAGGGCTGTTGGAGTTGATGCTGGCACACAGGACTCAGATCCTACCCCGAGTGTCCTCCCAGGAGCAGTGCTGTGTGGCCTGCTCCTGTGGCAGGAAAGCTGTGGGGGCTGCTTCCCACTGCTTAGGTCCTGCTCAGCTGCTTAAGGAATTTCTCTCAAGCTCTGGTTGCCACAGTGGAGGGTAGTTAGTTCTTTGAGCTGGGTATTTTGTGTCAAAATGATAATTATTTTATTTGTTAATTTATTTAGAACATTTAGTATTATTTTTCTGTCTGGTGCACCTTTGTAGTTAACTATAGCAGAAATGATCATTTGTATTGGCTTGAGTAGTGACTATGGCTCAACAGCAAAGATTTGGAGGCGTTTATGTCTCCGCAGTGTCAAGACTCTGGTAGACAGCAGCCAGCTACCTGGCTTCCCTCTCCAGAGGCCAGGCCAGGTCAGGTCCCAGGCCCCTTCCCATGCTCCAACTTGTTCATGGCTGGATCCGTGCCCCCATCCCTTTCCCATTTCTCTTTGAATGTGGCTTCTGTTTAATGTGACAGCCACGGAAATATGCTGCCTATGAGATGACAGCTCCAGGGTGTCACACCTGCGAGCCAAGGCATTTCATGCCCTGGAGCAGCTCTTCACCAGGGTGCTCATGGCTCATATTCTCCTCCGTTCTTAGGGTTAACTGCCACCATGGAGGCTGTCTGGACTTGAGAGGTCAAATTGGGCTGCTAGGTGGGGAGGTTAGAAATGAACCCTCCATGCATAGTTTCCGAAATTCACTTTCAAATGCTTCTGAGGCATTGAGTATGCAGTTTCCAAATTCAGAATGTTGTGTTTTGCCTAAGTAGAGTGGCCAGTCCTAGGTAAGTAATATTTATGGTGAAATTTATGGTGATCTCTCAGTTCTGAAGCGGTCTTCGCTGTGGACCCAGCAGATATGGGCGCTATGGCTCTCCTGCCCTGGTAGCATTCCCAGCCCCATCTGCTGGGGCGCTGACAGGACGACTTAAGAGTCGCTTGCTGATGGGGATGGGGAGAGCAGAACAAGAGATGGATGCTACTGTTTCCTTTAAAGGAAAAAAAAAAAAGTCCTCAGCTGTATTGTCTGATAAAGGCCTGTGAATTCCTTTCTCCATCCCCATGGTAAGGTCAGTTTATGATTTGGGGTTTGGTCACAGTCTCTTCCAATTTCTGCTGTTAAGTGTAGTATCCTTAATGTCTATTCTGGAAACCCTGTTTGGGGGAGGGGGCCCTTTATCTCTGGGCTCCCCAGCCAGGTTCAGGGACTGGTAAGAGCCCAGGGTCAGCTCTCGAGGGGCTGTCTTAGCTGCATGATCTGGCCCAGGCTGGCCCCTGCATGCAGGGCAATACTGTCCCAGGCCCACTCTGCCCCCCCTGACTGACTCCTGCCCCCTTTCTTTGACAGCCGGCAGAGCAGTTCTGCAGGCAGGAGGACAGAGTGCAAGGTGTTCTCCAAGACCAGAGCTAAAGGTGCGGCAGCTCCAGAAGCGGGCGCTGGAGGGCGGGGGCTCCTTCCTTGTGCCCTGGAGACAGAGGTGGTGGGTGCAATGGGGTTGTGCCATGGTTCCTGATCTCCAAAGAATGAGGCGTAGGGCCACCCTGCTTCCACAGGAGCCACCCAGAGAAATTTGGGGAGCAGTTTTTTTAGTTTTCTCAACAAACTTTGAGCTTCCTCATCAAAACTTCCCTGTTTCTCAGTTGAGCATTGTCATGAGCAAGAATGTTTTTGGTAACTGGCCTCTGGAATAAGCAGAAGTCCACGTCCACATGATGTTGCTCAGAATCCTGCTGGGCCCCAGTGAGGGCACCACAGCACAGGCAGAGCCTCCTGTCTGTCCCGCTCGCCCACCACAGGCAACCCTTTGGGTGACTCCAGAAGCCAGCTGCACTGTAGCCATGGTCAGTCAGCCACACCCATTCCCATATTCCTCTTTCTGTGAATCCTGTGCAAGGGGTTGGGCCAAAGGACTCAATACCCGCCAGTCAGGCGCTGTACTTCTGAGCCACATACTGGCCGTCTTGTGAGGCTTAGAAGTTGTGCCTTCTTTTAAAAGCAAATGGTCCGGAGAGATTGGGTGGCACTGCAGCCAGAAACTGAACTCCACATTAACCTGCACAGTGTAAAGAGCTTTAGGTTTGTCTGTGATTGAATTTAGGAGGTCAGGATGAAGAGCAGATGCTTTTAGAAAAGCCCAGAGGTAGAGGGAGAAAGAAGCCACTAGTGTCTCAGAAACATCCTGAAAGTAGGTGTGACAGGGCTATAGAACTTAAGTCTCTGTGGATGTGTACACACATCCCACCCCAGGTGGTGGCCAGCAGTCCCCTCTGTTGTTTGTCTACCCAAGGTGTAGTTGTCTGACAGCCATCTCTCCCCATCCCTCTCATCCTGTGGTAGTCTGAATGTTTAATCCATGTCACATGCGGAATTTGTTCTCAAATGAGTGAGTCTGCCTTAGCACATGTTTGTCCCTGTGTGCAAGGTCTTCTCTCCTCTGGCTGGAGGGAAGTGTTTTCTTTCTTTGTTGAGCAAGCTCAAAGTGTGAGTGTTAACAAGACACAGGGCGGGTAGGGCCAGAAAAGGGTGTTGTGGAAACCCCAGTGCCACTGCCAGTCAATCTGACCCTTGAGGAAGATCTAGGAACAGAGCTTAGAGGTGGCTTTTTCCGGGCTGGTGTTGGGATGCAGGCTATGCTGTGGGCAGTCCATGGGCCCTTAAGCCTCTCAGCTCAGGGCCAGTTGCACCACTGAGGCATGTGTGTCCATGGCTGAGGTCTCATCCCTCACCCACGGAGCCTCCATGCACTTCTCTGGGTAGGCCCGATACCGACTTGAAGGCCTATGGTTGGATTTTGGTTTCTAAGGCTGGGGATGCATGGACAGGCTGCCACACCCACCAGGCCCTGTTTCTGTCCAGAGCATGCTGTCTGCCTTGGGGCTGACTGCACCACCACAAACTGGCTTAGGTTAACAAAAAGGTGTTCATCAAAGTGCTATGTGGTGTCCCAGGGAGAGGAGACATCAGTGTGGCATTAGTGAAGCCTGCGCTCGCTGTGGAAAAATACTTGTGTTCAACTGTTACCTTGAGACTCAGATCCCAAGTTCAATTGTAAGAACGTGCTCTTCTGATGGAGCACTGCCCATCCCTGCTGCAACTGTCACACTGCCTTTTGTCATGGTTCAATCCCTGCATTTTAACTTCTGTGTACTTGGGTTTTAAAGATTGTTACTAGGTGACGTTGTGTAAAGTTGTATGACTATTTATCTTCAGTGAGAGTCAAGGTAAATGTGTGTTTGCTTTCTTACGTTTTCATCTGATCTCTTCACAACTTGAACAAATTTCATGAAGAGCCCTCCTGCTGTGAAATACCAGGAAACTGAGCTCCTAATGTTGCAATAACTAATGAAGCTTGAATATCAGTATTGTTACTTCTTAATTCTAAGAACCATGTTTCTGTTTCATTGCTTTGTTTTCTAGCTGTTCCTTGTCACTGTCACAGCAAAAGAGACTTACCACATACTTGACATTCTGAAGTACTGGAGGCTGTCCTCTGTATACTGACATTGAATAAACGTGTGAATGCATTGTAAATGTAGATAATTTTCAATAGTCATTTTCACATCTAAGTTTTACAAAAAAGAATCTCAGTGAGCCAAAAAAGAAAAGCTGTTAAATGCTGTAAAATTAAGAGCCTTGTTAATGTCTATAAAACAGATAACCATGGAAGCCACTCTCTTCCTACTGACTGTATCAGATGGCTAACTAGATGAAATGCTGACTGAGCATCAAAGATTCTCTTCTGTGTGAGCCTGAATGAGGCCCTGGGATTCTTTCTGAGTGTGAAAAGCTTTCAATGCAAGGTGAATGTTAACTCTCTGAAGGTAGCTGGGCTTTGCAGCCACCTAGGCAGCCTAGTGAGCCAAGGGCTCTGTGAGCATCTGTAGGAGCTCTTCTCTCTCAGCACACTTCCCACCTCACCCCTGCTTCCCACCTCACCCCTGCTGGGCTTCTGTGCTGGGAGACAGCTGTTGTCATCACCTAGAGCCCAGTGCAACAGGAGCTACAAGGGAGCAGGCAGGAGGTGACATTTCACTGGGGAATAGGCAGATGAGCCGTGCATGTTGTCTGCTCCTGAAGCATTGTCCCCGCAGTGAGTCCTTCAGTGGCCACCTCCATCTCCAGATGCCTACATGTAAGAATTACAAATGGAGACTGTAAAGCATAGGTCCCTGCCAGAGTGACAAGGCAAGAGTGAGCTGGCCCAGACAGCTCCTCCTGGGCCTATGGTGCTCCCACTCACCTGAGATACAGGGCTCTTGTTTAGCTGCCTCTCGTCCAGGCTGGTGGTCCTGTGGTGAGGGCCTATCAGCCCTCACAAAGAGTTCCAGGGTGTTTCCTTACTTGCCTGACTCTGGGTGCAGGTCGAGTTTGCTATGTGCTGCCAGGCAGGAGAGATGTTCAAACCTGTAGCTCAAAGTGACACACACATACCCCACAACACACGCGCGCGCGCGCGCGCACACACACACACACACACACACACACACACACACACACACACACATATGTACACACAAGGCCTTGCTTATGTCAGGGCGCCTTTCCTTAGCACTACATAGCTTTAAAGCCCTAATAGACTAGGCTAGTGGCATTTGCTGTTTTGTTTAGAGGAAACCATACCATTTGATTTTTTTACCATACATAGCTACTGTGTACTTGGAGAAAGTTGTTTTCTCGGTCCCTCGGTGTGGGCTATGTGTGGATGTGGGCGCCATGGCCCAGCTGGTGGTTCTGTAGCAGCACCTCTGTCTTGGGGCTGTGCCTCTGAAATCGGCCTCTGCTTTTGGGTGGGCAGCTCCTGGAAGGGATGAGCCAGAGAGTTTTTAGGCCCCTTTCCCCTGTGGCAGCTTCAGGGCCCAGTGGGTCATTGGATGGAGGCTTAGCTGGCAAATGTTTTCTTAATGACAACCTCAGAGAAGCCTCAGCTGCTTGCGCCTCTCACTCTCTCTTTCCTTAGATATCTGTGAAGAGTGTGACTGCTTTCCCTGTTCTCATCACAGACCAGACTGTGTAGCCCCTTCGTACCACCTTCCATGCGGCCTGTCAGTGGGTAGGTTGAAGCTGGCCAGAGAACAAGGCCCATGACCCAGCAGGACCTAGGGTCCCAGTCTGAAGCCTATGGCCATGACACTGAGCCTCCTAAACCCATCTCACTGAGTCTAGGTACTCTGGCCTCTCTCATGTACCTCACACAGAACTATGCTTTCTTTCCAGGTTTTCTCTGGTCTTTTATATAGAGTGTGTGTAATAGAATAATGGATCCTTAAGCTCAAACAGATAGGGGAACACACCCAGGGTGAAGAGTGTACACACAGGTGTTGGCATCTGAGACAGTACTCATAGGGCCCCATCTGAAGAGGCATCGTTTAATTACTTAGGTCCTGGCCCCACCCGAGAGAAGTCACTGCTGTAGTGTCTGGTGGAGAGCTGAGGCAGTGGCCCTCCCTCATTTAGTGGGCACCTTTCCCACAGCGCTCAGGGGCAGCTCAGCCTGCCTGGCTGAGCTGTGTTACTTTGTTTGGAGCTGAGGGGCTGAAGGTGGAGAAGTGAACTGCATCGGGCCCCACCTTCCATACCTTACCTTACCATATGTGTCCTTGAGGCACTGTCGGAGGGTTAGGGCTGAAGGTGGTTAGATTCAGGGAAAGGGCAGCCCTCCCACAACCCATGGCTGGAGGCAGGTGTGAGCCCAACACACCTTCAGGACACATGTGTCTTTGCTCCACCTTGCATAGTATAGCATCCGACCAGTTATAATCCCTATCAGCAGCATCCACCAGGCAGAAAAATGGACTCTTTCTTTGTATAAGGCTTTATACCATTAGCATTGTATTTATTGTAAATGAGACTCTAACCCAAAACAAGACCTGGAGTATTTTGTTGTGTAATTTTGAAACGAAATATCCAGCAATGTTGGCATCTTTGGTGAGAGCATTAGAACTTAGGTTCAAGAGTAGTCTTTGTCCCTGGGACTAGGGGAACATGGTTCAGAGTCTCTGCTGGAGAGACTTGTTGCTTGATTTTTGTGAAGCCTGTACATAGGTGCTAGGCTGGCTATGGTGCACGGGCCTAGCGGGCACACACAAGTTCTCCCTGCGCGCTATCTCTAATCTTGACTCCTCCGTCCCCAAGCAGAGGAATCGGGATGCTGAAGTAAAACAACTCCCTGCCTGCAGAACCACCTGGAGCATCCGAGTGGCTCTTTTGCCTTAACACTGCTTCAATGGGTGTGGCTACCTCCCAGTCTTTACTTTAAACCCTGGGCTAATGGTGACAGGCTGGGGTGTAGCTCAGTGGAACCCCCACCACCACCACCCAGGGTATATTTTACATTCTCTCTTTTTTTTTTTTTTCAGAAGTACATTCTTTTTATTTCTCTAGATATGCATATACAGACACATACTGGAAATTTTACATTTCCTAAGTTGACTCTCCATTTCTTTTACTTGTATTAAACTAAAGTTCATAAAGAAATCCTGTAGGACTGTTTCATGAACCTTATCTTCAGTGACCTCAGCAATGGAGGCTGAGAGGTAGCACTCCCTCCCCAAGAGACCTTTGTATTTATGCTCCTTGTTGACCAATGATCGGCTTCACAGGCTCCTGGGGAAAACCACCTCTATCTCCATATCATCTTCTCCAACAAGTGTCAATCGGTCTTCCCTGCTTTCCCTGTAGCGCTGGTATAGGATGTAGGCAATTGCCGCACTTGCTGGGATTCCAAGTCCCAGGGCTCTTTTTTGAATAGTGGACAGGCTTGTCCATGACTTGGCCATATTCTGGGGTACTCTCTCTTCCAGAGTCCTGCGCCTTCATCTTGCACCTTCCTGGTGCCTCTGCCAGGTCGCTACCAGGGCTCAGCAGCCAAGTAGGCAGCTATTTAGCAGCTGCTTGCCCCTTCAGAGAGGCACGCCAGCACACAGTCAAGGCCTGTCTTGAAGTCGTCCAGTCTCGCTCCCACGCTGCAGCCAGTCCATGCACAGGCAGCCGTGAGCTATCAGGGGTTTCTAAGGCCAGTCTTGAAGCCTGTCTGACCTACAAATAAACCCTGGTGATGAGCAAGAACTCCGTATTCACCAGAGTGATGCTGCCATGTACCCTTCTCTTTCTTTAGGGAATGGGCTTCATACAGGCTCTCCTGTAGCCCTGGCTGTCCTGAGATTTCCTATGTGGCTTAAGGTCACCTTGAACTCTTGATCCTCCTGCCTCCCCCTCCAAGTGCTGAGATTACAGGCCTGTACACCACACCCAGCCTCACCCTTTCCTCTGAATTTACCTCACATCCCAGTGCCTGCATTTCATTCTGCAGAGACCCATTCCTAAGAAGTAAACAAGTGTTGAGGTCACTGTCCTGATGACTACTAACCAAGCTAGGTGGTCCAGACCTGGGTGCTGGTGTAGGGCAGGCTCTGACCCCACCCAGTGTGGCCCTGTGCTGAGGCCCGTCCCTGTTCCACAGAGTTTTCCATTTCTGGTGGCCTGTGCTGGCTTTACAGTCCTCTAGGCGTGTGAAGCACCTGGACATACTGGGTTCCTGCTAACCCAGGAGCCTGTGACCATGGGGCCAGGTCCATCTGGTTAACATTTCACCTTCCCACTAACCAAGAGATCCTTCCTGGCCTTCACTCCATGGCCAGGGTTGACATTGCAGAAGTGAACACTTACTGACTGGAGCCCAGTCCTCTGACATTTGAGTGGGGATTAGAGGAGTTGAGAGAGGAGACGTAAGTGTGCTCCCCTTGGCTTAGTGGCCAGGACAGCGCACATGGTGGAGAGTGAGGACTGGTTCCCCTGGGCTCCTGACCACACCACGCCACACACAATTAGGGCCTTGAGTGAGTGTTGACTCTGGGCTAGGAGCAGTGGTGTTCTGCAGCCTACAGATAGGCAACTTAACAAGACAGATTCAGTGAAAGCAGTATGTCACCAGGACCTAGAAGCTTGAAGCCCTGGTTGTCTATGTTTGGAAACCCCTCATCCACAGAATTGCAAGGAAAGGGCTGCAGAGGCCACCAGGGTGGGCACATTCATTGCCAGACTCTTGTTGACTTCCATGGCAATCATGAGCCACTTGGCCACCAAATACCAAAGATGGGGCCTGGCCAGGCTGAAATGTGCACTTACAATCACTTTTTATTTTTTGATTATATACTGTAATAAGTTGGGATATATTCAGTTAAAATTTATTTCACCTGATTTTTAAGTCATTATTATTTTTAAACTGTGCATCTCCCAAATGGTTGGCACCAGTCTTCCATTGGTTGGCCATGGCCAGAGGCAATGCCTACAGTGACAGGGCAGGCCACCTCTGTCTGCAGAGCTGCTTAAGGCACAGAAGGCGGGTCACACACTGAAGTAGCTGCTGCATGTGTGCTGTTCTCCACCTCAGGTTGGGTGGGCCAGGGTTATTGTGTCCTGGGCCTGTTTGCATCTGCCTTCCCTCACTGGCTTGGTGGGTTTACAGGGGGCATGACGGGTGTGGCTCTTTGCTCACTGACTGAACTCGGGTCTGAGGGAATAAGAAAAGAGCTCCTACAGATGCAGAGCAGGGCCAGTTGCTAGATCCCACCTCTTCTAGACCGTAAAGTAGATTTCGGCTCCGAGGTAAGAAGCTATAGGCCAAATGGCTTGCAGTGGGCCAGCTGTTTCCTAGCTCCCTCCAACAAGGTGTGGGGTGAGGCTGAAGACCCATTTATGACTGTCGGCCCTGATTTCTGCACTGAAAGTCTTTGAAAATGTAGCAGTGTTTACTTAGCACTAAATGTTGTCATTTATAAATAATACCCAACAAGTAAATAATTCTTTGTGACAGCTAAAGGATGTTTGTTTCCATGGAACCCATTTTTTAGTTCTAATGCTGCACTACTGTAATCTTCAAATTCCTAAGTAATGAGCACCAAGCTCCTATGTAACAGCCCAGTCATCAGTGCTGAGGACTGTGAGGGTGCTGGCTCTGAGGCAGCTCTGAGGGCGCTGGCAGCTCACCTGTTGTCCCATTGCTCATGGCACCTGCAGGGCTCACCACCCAGGACCTGGTCCCTGCACCTGTAGGGCCTACTCACTGGAGGCCAGCTAAACTACGGGTATGTCTCAGCACCCTCAAAAGAAAGCAAGTGCACCCCACTAGACACTTGGTGGCCCACGTGACTGAGGGCCTGGTCTGACTCTTGACAAGCTTGAGGTGGAGCTGGTGGCCCAGTCTGAAGCTGCAATCAGAGCCAGTCCCCATCCTAAAGGCTCCAGTGGTCCTCAGCAAACACCTCCATCTTCCTTCTAGTTGGTGTTGAGGCACAGTGCAATGCTCGGAGAGGAATTAGCTAGGTGGAAAGCGTGTGAGCCTGTGGAAACACTGGCCAAGGGTGAGCGCCGGGGCTCTCTTGGATGCCCTGTGTCTTGCTGGATTAATGTAAACTGCTTTGTTTGCAGGGCTTGTTGTCATCCCCAAACCAGGCCAGTTCTCCAGGTGGAACTGTAGTGTAGCAGCCGCACTGCTGCTCCCAGGCTCCCCGGGACACGTGCGCAGACTGAGGGAGTGACAGACGACAACGGAGCCAGGAGCTGCGCTGGAGCCACAGCAGGCAGCAGGCAGCAGGCAGCGGCAGCCTGCGGGGCTGTGTGGAGCTGCTAACCCAAAGAGTTGCTTCCATTTTTAAGTCAGTCTGTTGGGGCTGCAGTAAAAAACAAGAAATGGAGTTTTCTTGCTTTTTACTCTAAAATTCAATGTAACTAAATCCCATATATAATATATATATACATATATACATAGTGTAAAGTAAAAGGTTTCTTGGACAAGAAACCTTAAATTCAACTGTTATAATAGCACTTGGCTCTGGTTTTGCACTGTTCTATTTTATACTTTAGGTAGTCATTAGACAGCCTGGGATGCACTCATGAAGACAGTTGTCACCTTCTGACTTAAACACACAATTCAGAAAGACAGATGCTGCAATCATAGATTTAAAAAAATTGTTTGCACTTAAAATAGTTTAATGCTAATAGAAAATGACTTTGAATATGGGGGTTGTGGACTCCCAGCCTCCACAATATGGAGTGAAGATGTCCTTTTTATCTGTTAACATTTATTTTAATACTGTTGTTTCCAATGCAATCAAGCCTGTATTATATGTGTAAATAATGTAATTCTGAAATGGGGGAAATAGTTACTTCACTAGTAATTTTCATCATTTAAGAGTGATATTTCTAATTCACAAAAAACATTAATATTAAAATTATCTTGAATATACTATTTGTTTATCCTTTTTTAACTGAAGTTGTGTGTGATTTTTGTTTGTCTTGGCCTCACTCATTGGTTGGTGTGGAATTGTTTCATTCTTTGTATATCACATTCCTTGATCCCTCACTGTCAGTCCAGTGTAAGGCTGACTGTGAGAAACATGTGTCATTTGAGAATTCTTGGCTCTGGGTGGGCCTGTCCTCACCGTCCAACACACCGTGAGACTGCCCAGGCCTGGAGACTCTGGTGTAAACACATGGCCTTTTCCTTCTGGCTTAGAGTCCACCTGCTGTCCTTGAAAGCTGAGACCACATAGTGTAGTTTCCACGGCTTCAGCAGCAGTGCCATGACAGACCTCACACGGGGCCTCTGGAGGTGGTGGCGTCAGCAGGCATGCATTTTCTGTGCTCAGGTTGAATTCTGTGCCCACTTGTAGCTCCTACAGGTGATACCTAGAGGCAATGCCTGTATATCCAGGCAGGAGGATCTTTCTCAGCTTTTAAAGAATCAAATAGAGCTGGGTCCTTGAAGGCTTTATGTGCTGAGACTAAGCCACCAGGTGTCTGAACATTTCTCCCAGTAATCCCATTAAGAAGGGGGCATATGGAAGGAGTACAGGGCTTTTGCTAGGTTGTCTTGAGTTTTTAGCAGCTATAGCTGCAGCAGGATGATACCACTACAGAATTCACACCAATGCAAGCCCAAGCTTGTCTTCATTCACCTTAGGTTCCTGGCCCCCAGGCTAGGGGAGCCGCTCGCTTTTGCTGCTGCCTCAACCTTGCAAAGGTGCAACACA